CATGACAAGGAACAATGGACACAAATTATTAGAGAGTAGTTTTAGATTAGACATCCGCAAGAACTACTTCACAGTTAGGGCGGCTAGGAGCTGGAACCAACTTCCTAGGGAAGTGGTGCTGGCTCCTACCCTGCGGGTCTTTAAGAAGAGGCTTGATGCCTACCTGGCTGGACTCATTTGAGTCCAGTTTTTCTCCTGCCCAGGCGGGGGGTTGGACTTGAAGATCTACAAGGTCCCTTCCAACCCTACTTCTATGATTCTATGATTCTATGAACTGCACAATCTGCTGCTTGCGTAGACAGGGATGATAGTGCCTTGAGTAGGGAGCTGGAGTAGACCTCATAGGGCGCGTCCACACATGCAAGCACATGCGCTTGCAGCAGCTCAAATAGAAGTGGTGCAAATTTGGTCCGGGGCTTTTTGCTTCAGCTCACATGCTCAGATATGCACTTTGTTGTGAAGCAAATTGTGCCACTTGGGGCAAAATAACCCTGCCTGGCTACTCCCAGAGCTTCAGCCAGGGGGAGCTAGAGCCTGGGACCAGAACCTGTGTTATCCCCAGCAGTATAAAAAGCTGCCCTGTCCTGGCCCCAGCAGTATAAAAAGCCGCCCTGGCAATTAGCTCAGGGCTACTAGCTCTCAGGAGCTTCTGGGGCCCAGCCAATTGGTACCTGGGGACACTACCCCTTGTGCCACCTGGACTGCCGAAGCAGCCCTGAGAGTTCCCTGCACCCACTGCAGCAGTCTGTACCACAAAGCTTGGATCCCACTGCTACAGAGGATCAGCAGAATTTTTCCATTGATTTGACTGGGATCTGAATTTGATATTCTGTCCATATTCCATAATTGCAGATTTGCTACTTTATGCACCTGAAGCGAGAAAATGCACTGGTTTCTCTAAAAACTGCCTATCTCATTTCTAATTCCTTAGAAATTTAATCTCAAGAGTGCGAGATATTTAATTTTATATTTGGAAGAAAATTAAGTGAAATTAAACAGTCTGCATCATGCTTAATAGGTAATATCCATTTGACACAGCTGTGGTATATAGTTTTATTCTTATTGGATAGCTCATATTTTCAGAATTTGTCATTAGTGTAGCAAGAGGTAATCTAAACAAAACCTCTGCCTACAGGTATAGCAGTGAAGCTTCTCACGCAGGGCAGCTGCGATGCCCAGGGCAGCCCCAGCTCCCGTCATGCTGATTGTGGCTGTGTGGTTAGCTGCCGCTGAGGTAGCAGATTCTTTTATGCCCCCCCATAAATATGGCACCTGGGGCTACTTTCAGACACCTCAGTTATGCTATTGCTACTGGCTTCTTGGAAAATGCAGCTAAACACAGGCTTTCCAAAAACAAAGATTGCCAAGTAACACAAAATCCAACTGCTGGTTTAATACATGGTGTTTCACATTGAGAGCACATTCCAGCACTCTACCAAAATCAATACTAGCTGCTGATAAGTTTTGAGGTGTAATTCAGAGTCTCTAGCTAGCATGGGCAACAGCACTAGGGAAGTGCCAGGAATAGGCGCTTTGACATCTGTTAGTAACAAGAGTCAGAAGTTCCCAGGCAGCATAGGTATATACTCTAAATTACAACATCCTGAAGCCTAGGTCACCACTCCCTAGTTGGCTACTTAGATTAAGCTTGCACAGGCATGCTAGAATGTGCAACAATCACACCTTTATTTTGCAGCATAGATATGCCATTCATTTTAAAATATCAGCTATGTTTTCAAAGTATTCAGCTTCTAGTGATTCCATTGCGAAACTAGCAGCCAGGTGTTCAGCTGAACTCACTGGCCAGGTCTACACTTTCAGAAGATCTCTGCTCCTATTTCAGTATCAAGGTGGACAGATTTTTCTGAAGTACTTAATGGGTGCCTGTACACGAGCAAGAGGCTGGTGTGTTGGACCAGCCAATTAGTCTCACTGGACCAGTGTGTTGGACCCGCCAATTAGTCTCATTGGACTAAAGCTAGTCCAATGAGATTTAGTTCAGGTGCCTCCGCTACCATTTTGAAGCACGTGAATGCTGATGCATGAGACGCTGTGGCACTTTAAATAGAGCGGCTCGCGATCTCCTTTCCCTACAAGTCTTGCTTTCCAGACCCCTCCACAATTATTTTCATCACTCTGTTGGACCCTTTTCAATCTGTCCACATCCTTCTTGAGTTGTGGGGCCTAAAACTGGACAAAATATTTCAGCTGAGGCCAGATCAGTGTTGAAGAGAATAGAATAATCACTTCCCTGTTAATACAACCCAGTATGCTGTTGGCCTTTTTTTGCAGTCAGAGCACACTGTTGACTCATATTCAGCTTGTGATCTACTGTAACTCTAGGTCCTTTGCAATACTGCAGCCTAACCAGTCATTCCACAGTTTGTATTTACATATGCTGTCTTTCCATCCCCGCTGCAGGACTTTTGCACTTCCCATTGTTGAATTTCATCTGGTTGATTGCAGATCATTTTTCTAGTCTATCCAGGTCATTCTGGATCCTAGCCCTGCCCTCCAGTGTCTGCAACTCACCCAAGTTAGTGTCAGCTGAAAATTTGTTAGGTGTGCAGTCAATCCATTCATCTACATCATTAATGAAGATATTAAAAAATCCTAGGACAGACCCCCCAGGGAACCCAACTTGATACATATTCACTGAAGACATGGGACTATTGATGACTACTCACTGAGCATTGTGATCTAATCAGTTATATATCCACATTACAGTACTTTCATTAGTCTGTATTTCCATAGCTTGTTATTGACAATGTCATAGTTTCATAGTTTCATAAATGTTAGGGACTGGAA